GTGCCACAGAACTCTCTGTTGCTCTGTACCTGTGGAATCTCCCAGCCTTCCACTCCTCCAGGTCCCACCCAGCTACTGCTCTGTCCAGCTGCTGCAGTTTCCTCAGTCACTCAGGAACAGGGTCCTTCCTTGAGCCTTCTAGGCTCTAATTGGCTGCCTCCCCTGCAATCTCTTTAGGTCGTGACGAGGACCCCACTCTACTGCCTTTTTTCTGGGGCGGAGTGTTGTAGGAGCACAAGGCCATCTGGAGGACCTGAAAGGGCCTGGTACACCCTATCACCGTAAGACATTTTAACAATGTCACGGTGTGATGTTGATAACTTACATTTAACTGTTACAACTGTGTGGACCTTCTGGTACAGTGTCACTAAAATGTATAATTTGATGCCTTTTTTCCCCCCTGGACCTATAAATAGGATATAAATTGAACATACTAATCCATTCATTTAAAAAACAAAACAAAAATATAATGCAAAAAGACCTTGCAGTTCGTAAATAGCCGGAAGTAATTTTCAATTCTCTTCCAGCTTGTACAGATTCTGGAGTAGTAGTTTAAAAAAAAAAATTACAGTGACTGTGACAGACTGACAATATCCTGGATAAACCTTATGGAATTAAGAGAAACTTCTTAAGTTAAACCTTATTGAATTTGGGTTAATATCTTTGGGGGCCCATTGTATTAAAAATGTAATTGTATATGTGGTGTTATGGAATTATATGTACCTTCTCTAGATGGAGGGGGTTGCTAATATACTTTCTCTGTTATCAGCCCTTTGAAGCCAACCCCCGGAGGGGTATGCATATGCTAGTGCAAACTTGATTCTCCAGGAACCAACAGACAAAGAAAGGATTTTTGGATAAATAGCCTGGTTTTAAAGTGGCTCAGGCCTTCTTCCTGATCCAGCAAACAGACAGGACCTCTGGTCCCCGGAGGGCCCCAATCCTTAGGGTAGGATGGAAAGACTGGGGCTACTGAAGCACCATAAGACTGTATGCTTGTTCTTAGCTGGAGCTGTGATGAACTTGTGATCACAAAGGAAAATCCTTGGGTGAGGATTTGAAGGACTGCTTCTGTCAGAGCCCATGGTAGAGTTGGGGTGTTCTCTGGTAAGCTTATTAGCATGAGTGTAGGTTCTTTTATTGTTTTTGGTATGTTTTCTCTGTCATGCTTTTACCTTAAGGATAAAATAGGCTTGTATAAAAAGTGCTTTGTGGGTTTGACTGGGGTATTTGTAGGCTACACTGTTCCCTGGCTTCACTGTGTTATTCCCAGCAGAGACAGGCTGGGTTGCTCAAGCATACCTACTTGCTTTCTCTTCAGAGACAATTAAAAGGCTGAATTGCTACAATTATAATGTGCCAGATTACAAATAGTGTCTGTGAGGTGTTTGAGTAATGTTCAGAAACACTTATGTAAGTGGATTATCTAAATTTTTAGTGAACATACCATGTGCTGCCAACTACAGGGGTTCTTGTGCCTTCCTCTGAACCATCTGATGCTGGCCACTATTGGAGATAGAATGCTAGACTGGATGTATTAAGGGTATGATCCGGCATAGCAATTCCTATGATAGTGTATTTCTAAAGGTAGAAATTACAGAATTGAAATCTGCATGTTTGTGGTCGTATATTATATATTTATGGTCAGTTAAGGCTTCTTGTAAGTTTTTCACAGGGAGACTATATCTAAGAGTATGGCTTCAGTTGTGTCTGCAGTTCTTTCAAAAAGTACATCATGGTGTCAAACTTCTGGAAAGTAGCGGTGACAACTTTAAACAGTGTGTTAGAAGCAAGGAAATGGATTAGGAGTTATTTCTCCTCTTCCTTTGGGGAAACTGGTGTGGCACCCTGGCTCCCCCTTATTCACTACTGTCATATCATTAGGATATATTTTGTACAAAGCATGCGTTGTGAGATATCAGTCTAAAAGTCTTGATCTGCTAGACATTAATATCTCGTTGGATTGTATGTGCTGTCATTGTATGTGAAGTTATGAAGTTTGACCATGAATGTGTTACTGACACATGTGAAAACACCCACAAGCAGCCATTCAGGTACAACAGTAAAAAGGCTAAACAATGTTTAATGTCTTATTGAGGAAATGCACAAAAGCACAAGGAATTGTGTATGATAGAAACCTCTCAGAGGTAGCACTACACAATGGGAACTGTTTGACCCAGGTCACAGCAAAAGAGCTTTCCAGCAAGTGAGAAGAAGATATAAAAGGGGGAAATGACACCTTCCCTACAACAACACACCTGGAAACACCTGAGGAACAAAGACTGACCTGGGGGAAGTGATGATCCCAGGCTCAAGGGATTTCTAGCCTGTGTATGAAAACTTGGGAAATCCAAGCTGCAAAGGAAAGGCAGCTTGTGGTTTAAGAATCTGCCAGCCTGTTTATCACTCAGGGTGAGAATTTGCTAATTCATATCTAACCTATTTAGTATGTTAAACTTAGTTTGTTTCAGAGTGGTAGCCGTGACAGTCTGTATCAGCAAAAACAACGAGGAGTCCTTGTGGCACCTTAGAGACTAACAAATTTATTTAGGCATAAACTTTCGTGGACTAGAACCCACTTCATCAGATGCATGGAGTGGAAAATACAGGAGCAGGTATAAATACATGAAAAGATGTAAATTGCCTTACCAAGTGTGAGATTAGTCTAACGAGACAATTCAATTGACAGCAGGATACCAAGGGAGGAAAAATAACTTTTGAAGTGGTAATGAGAGTGGCCCATTTCAGACAGTTGACAAGAAGGCATGAGTAACAGTAGGGGGAAATTAGTATTGGGGAAATTAGGTTTAGGTTTTGTAATGACCCAACCACTCCCAGTCTTTATTCAGGCCTAATCTGATGGTGTCCAGTTTGCAAATTAATTCCAGTTCTGCAAATTAATTCCAGTTTCAGGTTGGAGTCTGTTTTTGAAGTTTTTTTGTTGAAGAATTGCCACTTTTAGGTCTGTTACTGAGTGACCAGGGAGATTGAAGTGTTCTCCTACTGGTTTTTGAATGTTAAGATTCCTAATGTCAGATTTGTATCCATTTATTCTTTTGCGCAGAGACTGTCCAGTTTGGCCAATGTACATGGCAGAGTGGCATTGCTGGCACATGATGGCATATATTACATTAATAGATGTGCAGTTGAACGAGCCCCTGATGGTGTGGCTGATGTGGTTAGGTCCTATGATGGTGTCCCTTGAATAGATATGTGCATAGATTTGGCACCGGGGTTTGTTGCAGGATTTGGTTCTGGGGTTGGTGTTTTTGTTGTGTGGTGTGTAGTTGCTGGTGAGTATTTCCTTCAGGTTGGGGGCCTGTCCCACAAGGTCTGTGAGAGTGAGGGATCATCCTTCAGGATAGGTTGTAGATCCTTGATGATGCACTGGAGAGGTTTTAGTTGGGGGCTGTAGGTGACGGCTAGTGGCCTGTCTTGTAGTAGGTGACTTCTGGGTACCCTTCTGGCTCTGTCAATCTGTTTCTTCACTTTACCAGGTGGGTATTGTAGCTTAATTTCCCCTATGTTCTTTTGACATAGCAGGTCAGTTGTGTGCAAACTCCTTTTTCCTTGAAGAAATACCAGTTGGATAAAATTTTGGAATTTAACAAGTTTTTTGTCAGTACATTTAAACACAAGATAGTGGCTCTGGTGCTGGTATTTTCCAGAGAAGTGGTGGGCGGCGAACCGCTTCCATTGGGAACTGCAGGCGGCCAATATAAACAAACTGTCTCATGGCCCACAGGTTGCCCATCACTGCTCTGGAGTATATGTAATTTTTTTCATGGTAAAGTCATTGCACTATAGTACTTGTATTAGGTGAATTGAAAAATACTATTTCTTTTGTTTTTTTACAGTGCAAATATTTGTAATAAAAATAAATATAAAGTGAGCACTTTGTATTCTGTGTTGTAATTGAAATCAATATATTTGAAAATGTAGAAAACATCCAAAAATATTTAAATAAATGATATTCTCTTATTGTTTAACAGCACGATTAATTGCACGATTAATTTTTTTAATCAATGTTTAATCACTTGACAGCCCTAATAATCACATTTTCTGGACCAAAAATCTGGCCTAACATGAATTTATGCTAGTGAGGAGGAATATGTGTTCTTTTGTATATGTATCTATGTTGTAGCACAAATCTTTCATTATGCTTATCTTGAGGACCATATTGGTCCTACCTTTTGGCTCTTTCCCACCTGATAAATATTTCCCCTCAGCTCTCCTGCCTGCTTCTGTGGATGGGGGATTTGGATGACCTCTGATTCTTCTAAATACATGAAACTTCCGTTAACAGTGTCTTTGTTTCTTCATGATTGGACAATTTATGTATTTTTGGAGACAGCCTTTTGAGCTTTGGTTTCTAAGAGGAGGAATCCAGTTAATATGGTTTCTTTGGAGGAGAAATTTTGCATTTTTCCTTCTCTGAAGATATTATTGGACTAGATTCTCACTCACCTGTCCTACTTCCCATCAGTGTTGATAAGGGAAAGAAATATTTTCAATAACTAAGCTTTTTTTAATAGCCTCTTTCTGTTCTATAAATATTCTTTGGACTTCTATTATACTTAGATTTTGGGGAACTCTTTGCTTCCCATTCATAAAAGTTACTGAAACCAGTTATTCTGTACAGAGGCATTGGCAATTTATTTCAGAATGAGGATTGTCTTACTGTGCCTCAAAGAATGAAAATGTTTTAAGATGTACGGAAGTTCTGGCTTGTCTTGTCCTAGGGAGTCTGGATTCAAGATCAGAAATCTAGTGAAATGATATCTTCAGTGAGGGAGAATTCTAAAACACATGCTGCTGCCCTTGTGCCTGTGCAGTCCTTTTGTGTTCATTAAGATAACTATATTTGTATAATGGAATTGTAGTCTGTGCTTGAGTAATATAGAACCATACTTATTACAGTAGTTTTAAGACAGAGGTTAATTTTGAAATTCTAGAAGCATGTTTACAATTACAATTAAGTTATTTTTATTTCTTTACAGGATGGCCTGAATTCTTTGGTCCTTGATCTGGATTTTCCAGCACTGAGGAAAAACAAGAACATAGATAATTTCTTAAATAGATGTAAGTTGCACTTAAACATGTTTGATGTCTTGATTGCACTATAACAGTCTTGGAAGCTGAATGCGCAGAAATACTATACATTACTTATGTGCACTTTGCTAATCACCACAAAACAGAGCCTGCACTCTAAAAACAGCATTCCCTTCTCAGTAGATACTTGAGATCGCATTGCTGTTGTGATGTTTCATTACTAAAATGTAATTACTATGTCACAGGGTCTGCACAGGTTTCTGCCTCTCGCCCTGTGCTGAGGCTGGTAAAATAAGAGTTCTCACGCCGTCTTCTCGTGTTTCACCCTGGTGCTTTATTTTACAGTGCCACTGTGCAATCCCCTTTATCCCCCAACAGTTATCCCCTTTCTAACCCATTCCAGGGTCTCTTGGTCCTTGAGGCTCCCTTCCTGTGGTGAGGAGATAGAGCTGAAGCCTCCTGTCCTCTCCCAGGCTAGCCTCCCAACTGAGTTTTGTTCAGGGCTTTTATAGCCCTCCCAGCCTTCAGCCCAGCTGTTGCTGCTTAGCTCAGTCTATTGCAGTGAGCCAGCCCTCATTAGGGCCTGCAGCTGGGCTCCCTGCTGGCTGTTTTGAGCCTCTGCCCTGGCCTCTCTGCCTGAAAGTAGGGCCTAGCCAGCATTTTAGCAGGGCATTCAAGGGGTTTCACCCCTGCCCCACCACATACTCTTACAAATGTATTGCAAAGTATTTATTAATATAGTGATCAATACTAAAGTATTATCAGTAATTAAAACAATACTAGTCAAATGAGTATTTTTATGATGCATTATCTTTACTTTATTTTATCTTTTGCTTAAGTACCAATTTCAAAATTCAGTAATTCACAAGTCTTACAGTTGTTAGTGAGGTTCTATTATAATCTGCAAAAAAAAATAAGTATGTAATTACTCAAAATGGCATACACTGTCATGTAAATTTTTAATAAAACTATACTTTTAATTCAGAAAAGTCCTTCTAACACATCTTAAATGGATTTTAAAGTATGGCCGTTTAGTTACAATGTTTGTTTTAGGTGCATCTTTGCCATGTAAATAACAAATTTAATATGACTCTTTGTTAAGCCACGTCAAAACATAGCTGTTGTCTATGCAAGGAAAATTTTCCTAAAAATTCAGTCTTGTTTTAAAACCAATTGGAGCTACAGTATAGACAAAGCTGTGCTAGCTGATGCGGTTTTTATAACTAGCTTAGTTAAAACTGCTTTCTAAACTAGAACTCAAGCTTGTTGGGGGAGGGGGAATTTGCAATTACTCAGGGGATATCCACTCCTTTCAAATGTTAGTGTCCTGTAAAAGCATGCATAAGCCAGGGAATAAAAGCAGGAACCATAACTCCAGTCTGGGGAGCAAAAATTCCTTTGGTTATCTGTCCCTTAAGGGTAGTATGGCCTAATGGTCTGCCTACCCCATTATGTGGCATGGCCCTTTAAGAGATTGAAAGATCTGATTATATATACGAGGATCTGGGAGACACTTGAAGAGAGGAAGCAGTCCTGGGGGTAAGAAGCTTTCAGGAGGAAATCATATTACTGTTTCTTTAAGGACTTATGGCTGGGAGCTTTGCAGAGAGGGTGGGGCAAGGCTCCCCTCTCACACAACCAATTGAGAATGACCTGGGAGAAAGGGACTAGCATAAAGGTGGCCTCCTCTCTCATGGCAGAACAAATGCCAGGAGATACTAGCAGTGAAAGGCTGGCTTGCGGAGCAACATGAATGCTAATTAAGGAAAAGGGACTAGCTGGGGTAGAAGCTGGTAAAGGCCCCCCAGTTGCCTAATATACAACTCATCTCCAGAGAGGAGACCTGAGAGCTCCTAGAAAAATCTGACTAACAGAACCCAGCTCCATGGAGGAGAGCTGGGGAGACTCCTGGGTAGGGAGAAAGTAATACAGCCCCATTCTAAAAAGAGATGGGGATTCCTGCTTAAGGAAGGACTGGAAAGGGGCAACCCCGAGAAAGAATCACGAAGGGTTCCTGGACCAGAGACTGTTCTCTGTTCCTGTTGTGAAAGAAACATATTCAGTAGTATGCTTAACCACTTGATGGCTATTGAACCTCACAGGTACATCCTAGCAGATTGTACCTGCTATGCTGCTGAATGTACTAGATATTTTAACATTCCACCCTTATCCAAAGAATGTTAGTGGATAGTAGCAGCACAGCAGGTGGCAGAGAAGTGAAAGTTTGAAAGGTTTAAGGTTGTCATGTTGGGTCTTTAACTGCTAAAATGTTTCTGGAGGCTTGAAAAGTGTATGTTTTTAAGGCATTAGGTAAAATACAACTGAAATCAGAATAGTACTAGTTTTCACAGTTAAGAGGAGATGATAATTCAACTGTTTACGAAGAAATACAAAAAGACTGCAATTATGGCTTTTAATTCTGAGCAAATGGTTTAAAGACAATGTAGAAGTTAGTTGACAATTTTAACATTTGTGTTCAAATGGCTTGTCTTTATGTCTGGATGACAAATATTACCAGAGCTATTCGCACACTGCTACAGATCTGTCTTTATGACCTCATTCTTTAAACTTGTTTTAGATGAGAAAATTGTGGAAAAAATTCGAGCTTTACAAATGAAAGCTGAAGACTATGATGTTGTTAAGGTGATTGGAAGAGGTGCTTTTGGAGAAGTACAGTTGGTAAGAATGTCTACTCATCATCTGATTACTACTTGTCAGCTAGATTTATTGCACCAGCTAGATACTCTTAGTGCCACACTTTTAATGGAAAGTATGCACATTTTCAAACATGGATATAGTTTTTTTAATTCTCTGCTTGTTGTAATTTAGTATCAATTTCCTTGTTAAATATAAACTTTGTGGCATAAAGAAATCCAAGGGAATTAAATGTTCACAATATATCCTTAACACTCTTTCCTGTGCTGAAGCTTAGTAGTGTATTGAAGATTATAAAATGAGACCTCTAAAATAGTTAACCATAATTGTGCATTGCAAGGGAAAGAATTGAAAAGCTGTTTCCCTTACCTAGGACAGCTTCAGAGTATTTAGCTTGTGTCAGGTATGTTTTTTCTTGGCCACAAATGGTCACTATAGTGTAATAATATCAGGAAACCTCCTTTGTTGGTAAACTGTCAATAGTGCAACAAGAAGGCTTTCCCCACAGTTCTCTCTTGCTCTTGGTACATGGGACAACAGTTTTATAATGCATTCAGTTAATATTATTTACATACAAGGTTTTTATTCCAAATTGCTGCTATTAATTTTTGTTTCCAATTTAAAAATCCACATAGTTTGTTTTCAAGGTATATTACCCAATGTAAATACCTATTTAGGAATTTACATAAAGATGAGATTACAGAACACTTCATCTGCTGATTTGGGTCGTCGATAGTTTCCTTTGCAATTGATTTTGATGTGGCCAAGGCTGCCACGTGCTGTTGTAGGATAAATCAACAATTTTAAAATTAAAAGTAGGGTGTGTGTGTGTGTGTGTGTGTGTGTGTGTGTGTGTGTGTGTGTATATATATAATAACTACTT